CATATACTTCCCGAAGTGCTATATAGTCAATTGCCCACATATTGCCATCTTACCATCATTTTTATCTCTTGATACCGGGTCACCAACTTAACTCATTTCACTAATACAGGTAGTAGTTTTTTTTTTTTTTTTTCATCTTTGAAACTTGTCAGTTCTTACATAATGATCAAATCGTGCAATGTCGGCACCAACTCGATCATCATGGTCACCCTATTCCATAATCTTTTCGCTCTTAAATTGTCATTTTGAGCATAAAAGAAGTTAACATTATTTAATGCTTAAACATCCAATATTATTACAACAATCAATACTCTTATCAGCCTTCTTTGATCAATGCACATCCTTCACAATCTAGATCAAAGAAACAAGACTTCATCTCACATGCTTAAGCAAATACTATTTAAATGTCACCGTTTCACATGCCTATCATACATTCCTCCATCATGAATTCTTATTGAACTATTGTTTTAATCATTCTTCCTTGATTATATAGATGCATTCCTACTTGGCTCGCCAACTTATACTCAACATGTCAGTACCCTCTAAATTTTAGATAGGTGATCATTAACCCATTTTTTTTATATCGCTACGCATCTAATACGCAATCCCCTTCTTGCAATTTAGTTTACGTCAACTAAACAATTTGGATCGAATAAGATAGGAAGAACACGAGACTAACATAATACGAATTGACACATTCATAAATCCTTGTAATAACAGTGAGTTTAAGCACGCTTATGTAACAACATACTCAAAATAACATTAGCTAAGTGAAATTTTGAATAGGTTATACATAAGAATCCTCAACACCATTGTCACGATTCATGAATTTGTGCAACTCCGATGACCCTAAAGTTCTTCTATCTTAAAAGCTCTACCCACAACTCACAAATTAATACTTACAATCTCAGCTTAAGTCTAGGCGTCTTAATTTCTCACCTAGTTCACTTAAACTAAGGCTCTGATACCAACTTGTAACACCCCTAAAAATATGAGGCAAAAAGGACTGAAATATGAAACGAAAAATCGGAATTTTATAAAAAGAATTCACCCAACAGAAGGGGTAAT